GTGGGGGGGGGGGGGGAGGGTGGACAGCTGGACTCAGTAAGGCATATCAAGACCAGGGAATGTTTAGGGGGAATTTCGTGCACAATATAGTGATAGACGATTTGGCCAGGTTAAATGTGTTAAAAAACATGTTTCAACTTTGATTTTTAAATATTAAAATCACACTTCAATTAATCCTATACCATTTCTCATCTTCATTTTCTGGAAACTGTTAAAATGTACATGAAATTGTTTAGTGACTGTGTTTTTAAACATATCAACGAACTTTGACTTTTAACAAGCTTTTAAATTAAAAGTTTTTGGGGCGAAATTTTAAATCTGAACCAGGAGCACAATCATTCCAGAATTACAAACTTTGTGAAATGCTTTACGGGCAAACAAATAATCATATAAATTTTGAGCCTATACCCCTTTATACCACATTACAAATAACAACTTACTCGAGCTCTCTAATTTTGTACTGGATAATTTAATGCCATTGTTTAACCAAATGCATACGTATGAAAGTGTCACAACAAGTGCACACCTATCGCAAATTTGAATCTATTTACATAGATATTTAAAGAGCTTAAAAGCTTTTTACTTTTCAGTTCATTACTTTCTATGGTTTAATCTATTAAACTTTCTCTTAAAGTTATCTGCATCCACACGATGACACGACCATTCCTTCAAAACGTTTATATTCTACATTTCCTTTTGCGTCCGCAAGATACAGAATATATAGAGATTCCAATTTGGTAGGAACACAGCAAGCTGCAGGGATATTCTTTCCGCCTACTAGCCGTTGACGGTTTCGAAGAAATGAATACACACTTTCACCTGAAAATACAGGACATGTACCAGCACAGTAATACGCCTCGTAACCTTGAGGTGCAATAATATTGGCCATGCCCAAGTTACTAAAATTAATATACAACGATTTTCGACGAGAACACAGCTTATTTGGTCTGTCCAAAGACTTTGCAACTCGTGGAAAACGTGATTTGCCAAAAGGAAATTTATCTAAGCCGAAAACGACCGGTTTTTTTACTTCCGAAGCTAGTAAAGGTTGTGGGAATGTTTGAAAAAACACCAAAATAAATGGCTGTTTACGACCAGACTTAACTGCTATTGACACAGGCTTAGACTTTGGTCGTTCTTTAACTGCGTTCACTTCCAACAGAAAGTTACACTTTGTTGTCGTAAGTATGTTTTCTTGTGAATTAAACTCCGACGTTACATCAAATACCAGCCATTCGCCACGAGAATTGCGAACAAACCGTGAACTAAGTAAACGTTTGTTTTCGCGGGAAGAATTGTTCATATTGTTTTCAAATATTTGGTATAAATGTATGTAGTAGAACTCTCGTGAATTTCGTTGTTTAGATCTTCGTTTAAACACACGTAACTGCACTTTATTTGCTTCTGGCAAGTTTTTAATATCGGATAAGTCAAAGGAAAATATTAAACGACGTTTCTCTGAAGGCTTGTGATCTACAACAAACAAGAATAAAACGATGTTATGGTCTTTCTAGCCTTAATTTGTACGCATGAAATTTTCAAATTTATAGTTCACCTTCACTGAATACACACGAGACTTGTGAAAATGTAGGGAGACGATCCTGCATCTGGTACAATTTCTTCAGGTAGGAAGGTACATGGCGGACATATTTTGATGCATTTGGGATGTTTTGCAAAAACAACTGTGCTAATTCCCTTTCTTGTTGACTTTGGGCATCGTTTCTTGTATCGCTGCTCACCACCAAACTGAGAAAAGCCAGGGTCAAAAGCAAGACAGAAGACATCGTCTTTGCCAAGCAAAAAACTGCCCTTTGCTTCGTAATAAGAAGGCAGTTGGTTGAACTCGAATCGACTCGAGCTGCGAAGCTTTTATATGCTTTTAAATATTCAAGCCTCAATCTGATTCGTTATTCCTGAATTTGAAAACTACGATTAGTTGTGACCTCTGGTTATGACGCACAATAGAATAAGGCGCACAATAGAATAGACGCATAAAAGAATATGCCAATATGCCTGTGATATTCTAAATTATATTCTTCAAATCATTTCAAAGATGAAACCACCAAGGCAACTTTGCGGCAGATCAAAACAATGCGTGACCAGAACTCATGCAAAACAGTGGTAATACAATGCAACTATCCCGCCCACTGTTTTTTTCTGTCTCCACTATATTGCATCTGACGTGAGGTATACAAGTTATTGTAAAGCGCCAGAAATACTGTATATAAATGGCATTATAAATAGTTGTTATACACTCATGCAGATAATTTTAAAGCTTAGTCACCTTTGTTCTTAGTCACCTATGTTCGCTATACCGATATACCGAAAATATCGGTATTGAAACCAATATCGGTTTATCAGTATGCGGAGTTTTTCAGTTCGGAAAAAACCACTATAACAAAATTAGTTAATTATCATAAACTGTGTTTCCACTTTTCAAATTATTCAAAATCAAAATTTCCTTAAAATTGCCTTCAAATTTCCACTAAGGAATTTTCCTATCTAATTTAAAAGGCGAAAAACCGGTATACCGATACCGGAAAATTCTCATACCGAACATTCCTATTAACTACAGTAGAACAACAGCAACTAGGCATGTGAGTTATCTGCCAAATTTTATTAGCGCCTGGGGACGAGGCAGTAATCGCACTAGGAATTTATAATACCATACTCCAGCATTGGCCAAGAATATCAAATTTTTCAGCAATCGCACGGTCCTCATTTGCAGACAATAGAGAGGCTTAGCAAAGACGACGTGACGTCAAAGACGACGTGACATCAAAGACGACGTGACAATGGCGTAAAAATGACGTGGGCACACCCATAGATGGGCAATATCACGCCATTTTTACGTCGTCTTTGACGTCACGTCGTCTTTGCTAAACCTCTCTTGTGATTGCATGCTACGTGCACACGACAAATTATGCCATGGACACACAAGATCACCGCAACATTGGGGGGGGATAGTGTTAGAATTAGCGTTAGTGCTAGTGTTATATATGTAGCGATGACGCGATGTAGCCACAAAGCTATTTTGTCACCTTCATAAGTTGTGTGGAGGGGGTATTCTATAATTATTGCAACACGAAGGTCTGGGTTTCCTTTCCTGGTTCACGCAGTTTAGTGGATAAAGCAAAAATTGCATTTTTTGTTCAATGGTGGAACTAATTAGCATAATTAGCAAGTATAATAATTGCATAATAAGTACATTTTGTCAGTCGTACAGAAAATTTATAAGTGTACGAAACTCCTTTCTATCAACTAAACTATACCGCAGAAGTAAAAAAAATAGCGAAAATATTAACCGAAGCAGAAGGCTGAGGTTGATAACGGCAAACTGAGGGCTTGATAATTCTTCATATTGTGCGAAAACCGATTTCAATAATTGTTTTATTATTTATTTAAAAAATTCAAAACAAACATTTGTATTTTATTTGTATTAAGAAAAAAAACAATCCTTTAGTCCTTCGGCAGCCATCGTTGCGTCATATCAATGGCGTCAGCGAGTCAATATGATTCTCGTCGTCATAGTAATATGGCGCAAACGCGTCCAAATTTTTTTCATATTGACTCTTTGACGTCATTTTGCTAATATGAATGTGAAAAATCCATATTTGGTTAGCCATTGAGTTGATGACAATTTCACAGTTGGCTGTTAGCCAATCAGAAACCGGGAGTTTTTTAAATAAATAATAAATACATTTAAAATATCATTAACAATTCATAAACCTTGTGGCAAATCATGTCAGCCATAATATGTCACGTGGAGTGACTTTATATCTGACAAAACACATGTGGCATTATTATAATTGTTCATCCTAATTAGTATTCTTATATAAAGAATACTAATGAGACGGCACATTTTGTGCCGTATTTTATATCTGATAAAACATTCCTGCTCGTTTATTAAACAGTACATATACGTTAGTGTGCAGATCACCAATTAATCTATATATTATATAGCGTCAGTTAAGACTCAGGATTTTTCATCTCTGTTTTTTTGCTGCCAGGAACGAAAATAGATTTCCCAGGCCTGCATGCATATGACTTTTTCATATACTATAGTGTAAGTTATTACAATTAAAAAACTATTTTCGTGACTATCATGGAGTCAATATGATCGTGTATTCCATGATAGGTCTATGTGTTATAGTAGCATTTCCAGGGGCCGGTTGTTCTCAAGTCGGTTAGCTTAATAGCTTAATCCTACAATCAGTGACAAAATACGAGTGTGGAGGGGTGTTCTATAGTTATTGCAACACGAGGGTCTGGTTTTCCTTTCCTGGGTCACGCAGTTTAGTGGATAAAGCAATTATTAATGCACCAATTCGTTAAGTAAATATTCTATAGGACAATTAAGAAAACAACTATGACACACACAATGTTGTGGGAGAAGGGTTGTCGAGGAGAAATGCTCCAATTATACTTTAAACTGTGGCCAGGTGTAGCCCCCCACAGACTCAATATTACAGCAATATGATTATGATATAATTATATGTCCTCAGGGGGTCGTGGTTCCCCCATGTTGCATGTTACCCAAGGGATAGTAGATCCTCGAGATGGGCATCCTAAATGTCCAAGGGGGTAGTAGATCCCCGCGATGGTAATTGTTTATTTTAATGTCCAAGGGGTAGTAGATCCCCGTGATGGTCATTGTTTACTTTACAATACACTGTATAATACATTGATTTGTGTGAGTCTATGGGTTTGCCCGTAGGTCATACACTTTTGCTTGCAAGTGACACGAGGCTTACTGATCCAAGCAGGAAACTATGCAGACGAAGAGGTGAAACCTGATTGTTTCCACAAACAAAACTATTAATGGTGGAACAATTAGCATAATTAGCAAGTATAATTGCATAGTGAGGCACGCAGTACATTTTGTCAGTCGTACAGCAATTTTTTTTTACTTTCCAGAAATTCCAGTTGATTTCTGGGAAGTGTACGAAACTCCCTTCTATCAACTAGACTATACCGCAAAAGTTCAAAAATCCAAGAGTGAAGACTTGCATGGGAACATACCGAGAAGTTTGTTGAAAAATTAAGCAATAGCCCACCTTTTTATCCAACTAGATTGGGGGGAGGGGGCATCGACTATCGTCACATAATTTAGCGTCTTAAGGAGGGGAGGACTGGAGGAGGCAAAATAACAAAAGATCGTTACGGCCTCGAAACGTCAGAATCCCTATAACAACAATACAATTGTATACACAGCATTACACGTCATTATATCGACACAATGTAATAGTAAATATTATACAATGTATATCTACCGCGATATATACGTTAGTGTGCTGATCACTAATTGATGATATTGATCTATATATTACGTATATAGCGTCTCAGACCATCACGCATGATAGGACTTTTTCACGTACTATAGTGTAAGTTACTACAATTAACAAATTATTTTCGGACTATCATGCAGTCAATATGATCCTGTATTCCAAGATAGTTCTAAGTGCATGTATTACATAGTAGCATTTCCAGGGACCGGTTGTCTCAAGCTGGTTACAGACGAGCACGTTTTCTATGACAAGTTTTTTATGTGGCAAGTTTTATTTGCTCGTCTGTATACGCAACTTTGACAATTTTTACTGTGACAAGTACATTTGTCATGCTAGCTTTTGAACAATTGTACCTGTCACAGTAAAAATTGTCAAAGCATAAATTTTGCTCGTATGTATGGGCTAACAAAGAAAACTTGTCAAAGTAATCTGAGCATGTGCGTGCCGTTGCATGGTCAGCGATCTATTGTGTAATGGGTAATATAGCTTTTGTGGCGGTCAGAAAACCAAAAACTTGTCGTAGAACATTTGTCGTACATATAGACGTGGACGTGGCAAATAAAACGTGCCATATAAAAACTTGTCATAGAAAACTTGCTCGTCTGTAACCGACTTAAGCCAGTTAGCTTAATATTAAATAATCCTAAGTTAACGAAAGCTGTCAAAGCAATCTTCCTATTAGTATAGGTAATCATGCGATGTTGCTCGTACAAATAGGGATTAATAGTACTCGTGATGTTTGGAAATTTGCCAAATTGAACTCGCTCCATTGTTAGCATGAAAAGGAGGATTTCAACGGGAATTCAAGGGCCTTCGCTATAGAAACGTCGAAGTTTAACTTTTTCAGGAAGTTCAATCCCTCTCAATCCTCAGTTTTCTGGTATTTTTGTCACTACCTATACACTGACACAGACCGTTCGTGTTTATCAATATTTATATAATTAAACTAAATCCTATGTTATGTTTCACTGTTGTTTTAAATTAAATACAGTATTATGACCTACATTGATACAAATAGCCTAATATACCCACAAACCCGCACATGGTCTTAGCCAGGATCTGGAATTTGGGCGTCAAAAATCCAGATCTAATTAGGTCTAAAGTAAGCATATATTTCTGATGGCTTATTATAAGAGAACGGAATGACGCATCCGATCGAGAAAGTTATGCACATCGGGAATCTCGGTGTCACCTGTCACAGTAAAACTCAGTTACAGACTTGCATGACATTTTGGTGTTCAATTGCAGGGATCATACTAAAAAGAGGTTTTGTAGCTATAGGTCAAGAAAATAGCGACCGACCATGTCATGGAAAAATTCTTAATTTGCTCTATTTTAATTTTGGGATAGGTAATGGGACCTCTCCATAAATAAATTTTACTGTAAATGCCTCCAATTTGACTGTCAGTGATTAATGGAGATAACAAAAAGGAAAAGCTCTCAAACAATGGGAAAAAAAACAATGATAAGATTGTAAAATATAGACTTACTGTGGAAGATCCACGTACACTATTTTACTAATCGAAGCCATCAAGCACGGTGTATTGCCGTGTACAATCTACAGATTTTTAGAAGCCGTCCAAAAGGTGTCAATATAATAATCGAATAGTCCAAAGGCCCGTCTTTTTTAAGTGATCGTCCAAATTCTACGATGGCCGTCCATAAGACAGCTGGGGCCGGTTGTATAAAACTCTTAGCTACTTTGTAACCACTATTTAGTGGTGAAATAGTAGTGAACTCTAAAAAATGCACGATTTTGATTGGTTAATTTTTTAACTAATTGAAGTCTACAATTTTATACAACCGGCCCCAGGACGGCAGGCTAAAGCCTGTTTTCCACTTCGCCCGTATCGTACCGTAACGTATCGGTGAGCATGCGCAGATTGAAAAGAGGTTTATAAATTCACGTACTTCCGGGTGTATTCGCGTATCAAAATAAAAAGTTCGTCGCAAGTCAACTTTTTGGCGTACTACGGAAGTACTAACCAATCAACATTCACGAAATTTTGAAATTTAAAAACGTTTTCGCTACGTTACGGTACGGGCGAAGTGGAAAACAGGCTTAAGACCGTGTACCTGCAGTAATCTATACCAAACCTACATAGTATACATTATAAACATAAATATATACAGCACCATATTGCTTGGCAAGTTTTAAGTTATCACCTTCTTGGAGTGGGTTCTTCCAGTCCCTGTTGAATCAATTTTAAATCTTCACAATCACTGCGAATAACGTCAGTAAGATGCATTAAGCCTTCTTGTTGTTTTTCCAAATGCTGGCAAGTAGAAAACACAAAAAATTGATTGCATGAAAAAATTCTCAATTCTGACTGGCTAAGTGCTGATTGTAGAATACCTCAGATTAGATATACAATATATTATATAAATATTATACCTCAAGTGTCCAATCAAAAAGCTAAGTTTGTGCCACGTGAGCATGAAATGTATCGTCGAATCACGCCTTAGTCATCGTATTTGACGCAGTGGGTGATTTCAATCATATCACCCGGGTAAATTGATCATATCAGCCGGGTGATGATTCGCGTAAACCACGCGCGGCGACCACGCAAACAAGATGGCCGACAAAATATACTAAGGAGTGATGAATTATTGGGTTTTTGAACTTCAAAGAAAGCTCTTTTTTTATTTTGAAGCAAATTTTGAAAAATGTTATCATCAATATTCCAAACGATGTGTGATTCGGAAGAAAAGTGACAAATACTTGCGTAAATCAAAATATTCTCAACTTGGAGGTTTCCAATTTAGGGGGATTCGGCGAAATATTACCCTCAGTGATGATATTTCATCACTTCGAGTAACATTTCGCCGAATCCCCCTCGCTCCATGTAGGTCTAAAAATGATAAATATCGAACCATCCTCAGGGATATGAAAAACTAGTTTCATATTATTCTGACACAGCAAAAAACAACGAAAAATTCGTGGTCTCGAGCGGCGTTTGAACTTGCATCTTCGGGTTTCTAGACCACCCTTCTACCCATTGAGCATCCCTCTACCCATTGAGCATCCCTCTACCCATTGAGCATCCCTCTACCCATTGAGCATTCCTCTACCCATTGAGCATCTCTCTACCCATTGAGCGTCCCTCTACCCATTGAGCGTCCCTCTACCCATTGAGCATCCCTCTACCCATTGAGCATCCCTCTACCCATTGAGCATCCCTCTACCCATTGAGGTATCGAGTCGTAACCGCACTGGCTATAGGAACAAGGCGAGTGCTTCGCGAATCATGGCGTGGCGGCGGTTATTAAATTTTGTGTGCGAAAGATTGTTCTGTTTTTCAGCTAGTGGCATCATACCCAGACGCCAGCAGATTATAAAAACAATTACCATTTTTACAATCAACACCAACCTGTTTCAAGTCTGACTGTATAGATTTTTCCATGGAGTAACGAACATCGAGGGGATTGCCGATCATCTGTTGTTGTAGCCGAAGTTGAGCGACAAGTTCGTTCAGACGACCCTGAAGAATGCCAGAATATTTATTTTAAATGCCTCCAATTTTAACATGGGCAGTGTTTACTGTACTGTAATTCGTTCACACGACTACAATCGATAACACTACTTATATGAATATACACAATGGAAAAGTATACATGCGATATGCAAGCGAAATTAAGTCCCACAGAACTTGACCATATACTGTACTATATACAGTAAATGCAAATATACGAGATGGTAGAATTTGATACAATGCTGCTATAAACGGACAAAACTCAACTTGGAAGGATGGGTGCTTCGCGATCAGAATGCATGCGCGCGGTTGCTACAGTATGTGTGACCTTTGGTTACTACGTACAAGATACAATCAATTAAATAATTTCTCCAAGGTCCTACGGATTATTCGATGTTATGTGGACTTATCTCGCAGACTTCGGCTGAAAAGCCACCCAAAAATGGCGGCGTGAGAAAGGCTAATTCGGCCCAACCAATGTACGCACATTGGCTTGAATTTATGAATTCGGAAGAGTAAAACACATCTTGAAATATCATTAATTAAAGGCCCGTTTACACTTGCAATTTTTGCTTCGATTTTAGGTGCGATTTTCTTCTTCTGGTGGATGTGAATGAGTGGATAAGTTATGAATGTTTAGATAGTGGTACATATACTCAGAACATTCATCACTTAATCTACTCGTTCACATCCATCAGAAAAACATCGCACTAGAAATCGCAGCAAAAATTGCGAATGCAACGGATCTTAAAATAATACATACCTTAAACTGAGTTGGTGCATTTAATGCCGCCAAATTTGATTCCAGTTGAATCCTATATAGAATTAAAAGAGAAATTTGTAATCAGTAGTTCATTACAAATACACTGTAAAATTACAGTAGTTTACTTCTAATATACAGTGCGTGATTTACCAATACGTTCCATGGCTATAATATATAACTCAATAGCTAACTCACCTTAAATCTTCTTCATCAGGTTGAATAGAGCAACCACCTTTTCGTTTCACTTCCTGTTTTGATATCACCTGTTAGCGAATTCAAAAATAATCTCTTTAAATAGAATACTAGTCAGGTGACTCAAGAAATCGATGACATTGACGTTCCACAAACGTTTAAAACTATCTGTGTAAAATGTCATTCTTTTGTCATCTTTTGTCTAATCTTTCTGTTAAAATGTGTTGTCAGTAGTAATTTAGTGTCCGCAGTAATTTAGTGTCCGCAGTAATTTAGTGTCAGTAGTAATTTAGTGTCAGCAGTAATTTAGTGTCAGTAGTAATTTAGTGTCAGCAGTAATTTAGTGTCAGCAGTAATTTAGTGTCAGCAGTAATTTAGTGTCAGCAGTAATTTAGTGTCAGTAGTAATTTAGTGTCAGCAGTAATTTAGTGTCAGTAGTAATTTAGTGTCAGTAGTAATTTAGTGTCAGCAGTAATTAGGCTAGTAACACCATTGAACTATAAATAAACTGGAAGGCTAACTCAGGGACGGAAATAAAAGGAGCGAAGTTTGAGCGGTAAGAGCAAGAAAACACTGATTAATTGTGTTGAAGAGATTAAATTGAAGCTATTTGAAAAACGCTATTTGGTGTAGAAATTTCAAGACTTTAGCTAAAAGGGAAATATTGAAAAACTACAAACATAATTACTGATAATTTGCCGTTTTGCAGTTGTTTTGGTATTTTTTAAATATTTTTCTTTTCGCTGAAGTCCTGAAATTTCCACACCAAATAGCAATTTCCAATAGCTTCAATTTGATATATAGCCCGACGTTTGGGGTCAAGTATTTCTGCTCATAACTCAGAAAAACTATTTTGGCTTCATCAAATCATAGGCCTTCATCATAGCAGTTAGCCTTCCAGTTTATTTATATAGTTCAATGAGTAACACTCTGTAAATGTAAGTACAATGTTGCCCATAACGGAGCAAAAGCTCTATGGGTCTTACATGTCTACATGACAAAGTTAGTAAATAAATAAATTATTAGCAACGAACTTCATTACCATAGTACTGTACAGTATTATACAGTGCGATATTCTTTGCTTGCACATGACGTCACTACGTGTCATTAGGCGCCATCTTGGTTGATTTTAAAGTTTTGTCCAGCCGTTTACATCGAAATAGTTGAGTTACTTTAATATTTTTGGTTTGTTTTGAAAACATCTTACTGTATAATGGATAGTTTACGATTTCTGGCACAATACGACAAAGAATGAAGAATATAGATTTTTAGTTGCCACGAAAATCAACCAAGATGGCGTCAATTGCAAGAGAGCAATACAATTAAGTGGATAAATTTAATGGTTACGGTATTTCTCAAATACCGACAGTACATACTTTCAAAACTCTGTGACTGAGATCAAGGAAACGTCTTTTGGTCTCTGTCAATTTTGTTAAAGTTTCAGTATGTTTTTGTTGCAAAGTGGCAATATCATCTGATAAAATCTGAAAATACACAGGAACATACATACATGATCATGATCCGCAGTTGTCTGTCGAAATGTACCACCAATTAATGCCTTTTAAAACAGTGGAATCATTTAAAATTTTGAAGTGTGGAATCATTAGTTAAAAGTTTGAAATTTTTCCATGAACAGAAAATTTTCCGAAAATGTCATTGTTAAAAGTTGAAAATTTCAATCACATTTTACAAAATTTTCTTTCCGCGGAAAATTTTCGTGAGTGGAAATGGGCCTTAACATCTTCTGAAGATTCCACCGTGGATAAATAAATTTTATTGTATTGTATAAGCATGTAAGGCTCAGTATGTAATTAGGTAAGCGTATAATACTTGATGTAAAGCGCAATTGATCATATCCGCATATTTGCGCTATAGAAATGCAATTCGTAATCGTAATCACCGTCCGGGGCGTAAGGTTTGCACGCGAGATCCAAATGGGTACCACGCGTGGTCCAAACAGTTCAATATATGGTAGGAAACTCATGTTTTACTTCTTTCTGTTAGGGTTATTTTGTCATTTGTTGCTGATGTGAAATGGTTCTACATTGTAATATCTTTGTAAATTGAAACGAGAGAGTGCCTCGCATATAGGAATCACTGATCAAGAGATAGGAATACGAGATCTAGACCCGTCCACATTCTTACATGCCGCTTGGAGGCACTCGAAGACTTCCACCAGTGACTTAAGTTATGTATCATGCGTGAATTATACAATGGGCTAATTACACATTCAGTTTACTCTGCCCGGCATAG